TATCTGCCTACCATGAGCAAGGACCTGGGTTCAGTCCCCACCACCAGAAAATAGTTCTGTAGTTACTTTTCAATGACAGATCAATACATAAACAGTGTTTCTCAAGAATTGTGTATGACTGACACTGCTTTTAAAATATAAAAAAAAAAATTTTTTAAAGGTTGGTGGAATGGCTCAAGTGGTAGAGCACCTGCCTAGCAAGCATGAGGCCCTGAGTTCAAACCCTAGTGCTGAAAAAAAAAAAGAAAACAAAATCTATTAAGACACACCAAAAAAAGGAAATACTTTTTGAAGAAACAAGGACTTTCTTTCAGGGGACTAAGTCCTAAAATAAACCAAGTTGTCCTCATTTTGCTTAAATAAATAGAATTATGAAATGCCATGGAGGAGCTGGAGTGTAGCTCAGTGGTAGAGCAAGGTCCTGGGTTCCATCCCCAGCTCTGCAATTAAAAAAAAAAAAAGGGGCCATGGGTGGGGGAAGGGAGGATAAAGGAGAATATGGAGGAGGTAAATTCAACTATGATATATTGTAACTGCTTTGCAAACTGGCTCACACCTGTAATCCCAGCTACTCAGAAAGCAGAGATCAGGAAGACTGTGATTCAAAGCGAGCCCAGCAAACAGTTCAAAAGACCCATCTTGAAAAAAACCCATCACAAAAAAAGGGCTGGTGGAGTGACTCAGGGTGTGAGCCATGAGTTCAAGCCCCAGTACCGGAAAAAAAAATTTTTTTTTGTAAATGTCACAATGTACCCCCAGGATAATAAATTTTAAAAAATAAATAAAAATAAAAAGCCATTGATACAAGCAATAGAAGATGGCAAATATAACCCAGTAATTACAGATTAATGGGACTTTATTTTTAATTAATGAAACAAAGTTTAAATAACATACCCATGCCGAGCTCTGGTGGCTCACGCCTGTAATCCTAGCTACTCAAGAGGCAGAGAATAGGAGGATCAGTTCGAAGCCAGCCCAAATAGTTCCCAAGACCCTATCTGAAAAAATCCCATCACAATAAAAGGCTGATGGAGTGGCTCAAGGTGTAGGCCCTGAGTTCAAATCCCAGTACTGGATGGAAGGGAGGGAGGGAGGAGAGAGGGAGAAGGGAAAGGAGGAAGGGAGAAGGAGAGGACAGGAGCGGAAGAAAGGGAGGGAGAGAGAGAGAGAGAATACTCATAACTCAATTATTTTAACAAACTGCTTTTAACTTGTCCATCTCTTCTCAAAAGGTGTAGTTACAATGTTATTCCAGGAGACTCAACAAAGAAGTCTCACTGATCACAAAACCTGTCTTGGTAACAAAACTTGATCTTTTCTTTTCCCACCTTAGGCTGCCAGGAGGGAAATGGAGATTGTGAAACATATTTAAAAGTTAATTTTCCTGAGCAGCTACAATTAAGACATGAGCCACCAGCACCCAGCAGAGATCAGGAGGACGTGGTTGGAAGCCAAACAGTTTGAGAGACCCTATCTTGAAAAACCTCACAAAAGTAGGGCTGGTGGAGTGGCTCAAGGTGTAGGTCCTGAGTTCAAACCCCACTACCACAAAAAAAAAAAAAGTTAACTTTCCAGCTGGCTGAGTGGCTCAAAGCCATAAGAACATCTGCCTTGTAAGCGTGAGACCCTGAGTTCAAAAACCCCAGTGCCACCTCCAACTATGTCATCATTTAGAAGCAGAATGCCTTCCCAAATAGACACTGTAATGCTAATTAGTATTTGAAAGACTCTTTTTATTGTTACCTTTTATTGTTACCTTCTTAACACAGGAGTTATAAAAAGCTATATCCACACATGAGAAAAGTTCTAATATTGGTTGACAAACCAAAAGCTAATACATCATTTCAAAAGTGGTATCAGAAGACACTCAAAACTCATAAATCTTATTTTTTTAAGAACTACTTAAAATGTGCCTAACTTGACATTAGGATGCCTTTTCTTCAAAACATTTAAACTTCTTTATACATCATAATTTCCTTTCATAAGTTAAAAAAAAAAAAAAACATTTTTTAAGCAGTACCAGAGTTTGAACTCAGAGCCTCCCACTGACTAGGCAGGTACTCTACCATGTGAGCCATACCCCTTGTTCTTTTTGCTTTAGACATTTTTCAGATAGTCTCATGCTTTTTCCCAGGGCCAGGCTAAACCTGGATCTTCCTACACAGATGCCTTCCATGTAGCTGGGATTACAGGCGGCCACCACATCCAGCAATTGGGGTTGATTTTCCTTTACAACAGTTTTTAACTTACTTCTAGCTATTTGATTTGGAAAGAAATAGAGAAGCAAACAATTTCTAGCCATACCAGCAGATGTTCAAGGATGCCACTAGAAGTGCATAGAAAGTTAAAGTAGGCCATCAGTTTTCTTCAAAACAGCAATTTCCAATTACTAAAGGAGCTGTAGAGGTAAGATGTAAACTAATACATTTATGGTCTTAAAAAAAAAAAATGAAAGATTAAGCCAGGCGCCAATGGCTCAAACCTGTAATTATAGCTATTCAGGAGACCCTATCTTGAAAAAAACCCTTCACAAAAAAGAGCTGTTGGAATGGTTCAAGGTATAGGCTCTGAGTCCAAGCCGAGTACTACAAAAAAAAAGAGAAAGAAAGAAAAAAGAAAAAGAAATGAAAGATTAATCTAGAGTCTTCCTCTATCCAGGTCTTCTAACAGATCAATTTTCACACAGAGACAAATTTCTCTTACATTACATTTGAGGTTTCTAGCAGTCGTGTCGTGGCCATATTCATTGTAAGTGGTCTGTTTTGGCTGGGGTGCTGGGAATTGAATCCAAGGCCTCACAGATGAGTCTATCCTCAGCCCCCAATGTAATTTTTTTTTTCCAGTACTGGGGTTTGGACTCAGGGCCGTGTGCTTTGCTCCGCAGGCGCTCTAACACATGAACCACTCCACCAGCCTCCCTCCCCCACCCACCACCACCAATGTAATTTTTTAAGCTATAGAAAGCAGGCCTTTTCCAAAATCACATAACCAGTTACAGAATAGTTCTGGGTGAAGCTTACTAATTATTAATGAATTTCTGAAATACAAGCTACTTCACAGTATGGCTTCTGATAAGTGAAGAAAAAACCCAATTTTCTCATTCAGTTCTTTCCTCCAAGCTAGAAGGAAGATTCAGTCACAAATTGATATTCCAAAAGAGCTAAATGTCCAACTAAAATAATTCTAGAAGTTGAGGTAGGACACTATAAGTACAACAATTGATAAAGATTGGTTTATGTCAAAGGACTGGATTTCTAGCTTGGAGTAATGTGAACTTTGGGATAAGATTTTCTTAAATCTTAGCTTAAAATCCTAAAATCCCACAGTACAAGATGCTAGATGCAGTTTTCACTCATCTAAAAACATATTAAATCACTTAATCACATAAACCAATGATAAGTCAAAAACATTAAAGGTAAAAATCTACTTTTCACTTCATTATTTCAAAAAGCCTAGGTATTTATAGGGAACTATTGCTACTGTAATACAGTATAGGAAAACCTTACCACCATTGACATTGCAGCATTCATCAAATGTCAACCAATGCTTTTTTGTGTAAAATCTGTACTGGACTCTGCTACTGGGTTCTATATTTAACCTCTGATTTACAGAGTTTCAATGTGCCCCAACATTATTTAAATTAACTGTAGTACGATCATTTTAAGTGAGTCAGGATTTCTTGCCTCTATTGAGAAATTTTAATTAAATATGCATTTTACAAGGCATGACCTCATGAGCCCTGACCTACAGAATCTAAAGACCAAGCAAACAAATGATGCTAAAAATCAGAGAAGACTTTATACTCAGAGTCTAACCCCAAAATATGCATTGTGATTCTTAAGCTGCAGGGTTGGAAAGAAATGCCAACAGTCATAAATAAGTTGCCTTGTAAAGAGCTAAAATTCTTCAAAAGTGCTGAAACAAAAGACAGCTTTGAGTACCACCTCTGCTGTTTCAACACCACCATGCTTGATAAAGCTTGGAATGGAGACTTACCTCAGTCATTTACTGGAATGCAACAATGTATTTACAAAATTGTGCCGAAGTAAGCGACTCCCACCAAACCACAAAGAAAATGAGACAGCCTGAGTGAAATGTTTGATTTATACTAGACCCTGGCCTAAAACAGAAAAGAAAGCGTCAGACCTCGCTAGTAGTGTGTATTTAACAAGAATAATAAGTATCATCAATGGACGTGAGCATGGACAACTGGACACAAGAATCCTCACAGACTTCTTCACTAGTCTGAGTAATTGAGTTATTCATTGAGTTGTGAAAGTTAGGGTGAGATACACGCAGAGTGCTCAGCACAGTTGGTTTGCTCCTGGTAATCACCCAGTAGCCCTTAGAAAGAATCTATCAACGATCCAACCAAAACACATCTGTAACCCCATCCACAACTCATCACAAATTCCTTTTTTCTGGGCACAGCTTCTATCTATTGTGCAAAGAAGGAACGAATAAAACACACTTCTAAAACTGCCATCTTGAAGACCAAAAAGGTAACATTAACTTTTAAAACTGCTTTCAAAAACGCTGTATTGGGGTATCATGAACACAAATTCACAACCTCGTAAGAAAGCTGGTAAGCAGGTGGGGATTCTCAGTAGATCCAAAGCCAGCTAGATCAGGGACAGTTAAAGGTCAAAGGCGTCCAAGCCGGGAGCGATGTGCTCCACTTACACCGCGCCGGCCTCCCACGCGAACAGGGGGCTGAGCCAAAGGCAGGCGCGGCCCGAGTGGAGGCGAGGACGCACGGGTGAGGCATCGCCCTCGGGAACTTCCTCCATAAATCAAGCGGCGTTCACCTCGAGCCGGTGACTTCACCGGAGCCCCCGGATCTCGGGAGGTCCACCCCCCCCCCTTAACCGCACGATCCCGCCCTGGCCCCGAGCCCGCCACCCCCGGCGCGCGCCGCCCCCCCAGCCCCGGACCCCCTCAAACCCTGGGGCCCCGGAGGATGCGGCCCGCGCCCGGCCCCCGCAGCCCCGGCAGGATACTGAACACAGTCCGCTCCCAGGGCTCCAGCATGTAAAGCGCCGTGACCAGCAGGTACTGGTAGTAGAACCAGGACATCTGTCTCCAGGCCCGCGCCAGCGCCATCCCCGCCGTGCGCCTCCCGCGATGCAGCCGCACGTCAGTCTGTCCCGCGGCCCGCTGGCGTCCGTAAGCCCCAGGCCTCCAGGCCCGCCCGCCACCACCCCGCGCCCATTGGCCCGCCAGGCCCGGCGCGTCACCGTGCACGCCCTGCCCCGCGCGCGCCCGAGCAAAGCCGCCACCGGCCCCGCCCCGCCCGCGCTCATTGGCCCGGCCGCTACCTCGCGTCGCTCCCTCCCCCTCTCCATGTTCCCCACCGCCCCGCACACCCGAGGCGGAGAACGGAGAACGGTCCCCGCGAGAGCCCGGCTGCGCCCCGCCCCGCCCCGCCCCGCCCGGGCCTGGGGTGGGCAGAGCGTTGGTGCCAGCTGGGGTCCAGGCTGAGGCCTGCCCTCGGGCCGTCGGTTCTCCCAGACCTGCCCAGGATCGCTGGTCGAGGGCATCATTTGCCGAATACCTGTTATGCTTCAAGCATCTTTCTGGGCAGAGGAGTACAGGGCTAAAAGGGAAGGCTTCCGGTTGCTTATTGCATTCATGCAGCCCACAGTATGGTGAGGGCAGCCACGAAGGCAAGCAAAGCTGTGATCTGTGCAAAGGAAAAGAAGGAGATCAAAGAGGGTGGGAGGCCAATGCCACCCAGGCAAGATCTGGAAAGATTCTACAGGAAGTGACAAAAACAGACCCACATAGACAAACATACCTCAAGCGTGCCTTAACCTAAAGACTTTAACATGCATATCTTATCCGCCCACCTCTAGTGGCTCCGGCATAGATGGCATAGGTCAGCCAAGAGAAGTACACCAATCCAGTGGGTTCTGCAGATGACAGGCAGCTTGAGATCAGTATGTGGGTGGGTGACATCTTCTAGAGATACACTCCTAATTATCCAGGGTTTCTTACCTGCAAATGGACCCTCAGAATTCCACTCCCCACCAGGAATCGCATGCACTGTGAACGTGTGAATGCAGAGAAGAGGATGACAGATTTTCCAAGCCCTGGAGCATTGCACCCCAATAACATGAAAGCCTGATGTTTCGTGTTCAGGGCTAAGAGGCAACCACTGATTGCAGTCTAATCAGCAAGCCAAGGCCTTCACTCCTTCTCAGCACATCTTCCAAATACATGTGAGTAAAAAGTAATTTGTGCCTCAGCAAAGCTCAGCTCTGGGATAGCCAGTGATGCAGGTGCTGAAAGCAAATGGAAGCCCAGGCAAACAGCCCAACCTCAGGCCAGAGAGGGAGTGGGGCATGGAAAGCATGTCAGCCTGAGTGGCAAATAATAAATATAACATTAACCAGCATTTATTAAGGATCTGGTTACCATATATTTGTGAGAAAGTTAACAGTTCTTATTGGCTTAGGTAAGACAAATGAACTTTTTTTATTTCTGATGCCCCTGTGGTTTGAACTCAGGGATTCAGCTTGCAAAGCAGTCACTCTACCTCTTGAACCATGCCTCCAGTCCATTTTGCTCTAGTATTTTGGAGTTAAGTTCTCTCAAACTATTTGCCCAGGCTGTCCTTGAACCACAATCCTCCTGATCTCAGCTTCCCAAGTAGCTATGATTACAGGCATGAGCTACCAGCACCCAGCACAAGGAACATTTTGCACTTGCCAATTCAAGTGTGCTTTTTATACCACAAGAAACATTTACTAACTATCTAGCACTTTGATCCAGGAGTTTCAGAGCTGCTCTTCCTAGACCCTCCAGCTCTGCTTGTCTTCTCCCCAGTCAATGCTCTGAGACCTCCAAAGATTCCTTACAAGCTTTCCCCTTACAACTATCCCAACCCTACACTTAGACCTCACATTTCCTCCCTGCCTCAAGAAAGTGCTCTCCAAGGATCTTAATATCAGACCCCAAACTCTAAAGTTGGTACAGGAAAGAGAAAGAAATACCTTGGAATTAATAGGTATAGGCAAGAACTTTCTCAATGGAACCCCAGCAGCTCATCAACCAAGAGATAGCATAGGTAAATGGGACTTCATAAAACTAAAACCTTCTGTTCATCAAAAGAAATGGTCTCTAAACTGAGAAGACCACCCACAGAGTAGGAGAAAATACTTGCCAGCTACACATCGACAAAGGACTGATAACCAGAATATATAGGGAATTCAAAAAACTAAATTCTCCCAAAATTAATGAACCAATAAAAAAAATGGGCAAGTGAAATAAACAGAACTTTCTCAAAAGAAGAAATTCAAATGGCCAAAAAACACATGAAAAAATGCTCACCATCCCTAGCCATAAAGGAAATGCAAATTAAAACCACACTAAGATTCCACCTCACCCCTGTTAGAATAGCCATCATTAGCAACACCACTAACAACAGGTGTTGTCGAGGATGTGGGGAAAAAGGAACCCTCACACACTGCTGGTGGGAATGTAAACCAGTACAACCACTCTGGAAAAAAATTTGAAGGCTTCTTAAAAATCTAAACATAGATCTACCATATGATCCAGCAATACCACTCTTGGGGATATACCCAAAAGAACGTGACACAGGTTATTCCAGAGACACCTGCACACCCATGTTTATTGCAGCACTATTCACAATAGCCAAGTTATGGAAACAGCCAAGATGCCCCACCACTGATGAATGGATTAAGAAAATGTAATATTTCTACACAATGGAATTTTATGCAGCCATAAAGAAGAACGAAATATTATCATTCGCTGGTAAATGGGTGGAATTGGAGAATATCATTCTGAGTGAGGTTAGCCTGGCCCAAAAGACCAAAAATCGTATGTTCTCCCTCATATGCAGACATTAGATCAAGGGCAAACACAAGAGGATTGGACTTTGAGCACATGATAAAAGCGAGAACACACAAGGGAGATATGACGATAGGTAAGACACCTAAAAAACTAAATAGCATTTGTTGCCCTCAACGCAGAGAAACTAAGGCAGATACTTTAAAGCAACTGAGGCCAATAGGAGAAGGGGACCAGGAACTAGAGAAAAGGTTAGTTCAAGAAGAATTAACTTAGAAGGTAACACACACGCACAGGAAATTAATGTGAGTCAACTCCCTGTATAGCTATCCTTATCTGAACTAGCAAAAACCCTTGGTCCTTCCTATTATTGCTTATACTCTCTCTTCAACAAAATTAGAGATAAGGGCAGAATAGTTTCTGCTGGGTAGCGAGGGGTAAGGGGAGGGGGGGTAAGGGAGAGAGGGGAGAGGAGGAGGATGGGGTGGGGGGAAATGGGGAGAAATGACCCAAACATTGCATGCACACATGAATAAAATAAAAATTAAAAAAAAAAAAAAAGAAGTGATCTCTAATCTGTAAGGCTACTCCTTCCACTTGGACTTTGGATGTCACCTTTTGTCAAAGATCCTAAAAAGTCTCCTAGCTCCCCATCTCCACTTCCTGCACCCTCCAAACATTCTCAGTTAATCTCTATGCCCTGTTGAACTACTCCCCCTTTTACTGGTTCACATCCTTTTTTGAATAAGAGTAGGAAAAAAAGATACCTTCCTTTTGCTGTTAAGTACCTACAGCTGTGGTGGTGCCTACAGCCACCACTCCTCTCTTCAGGTACCCTGATGCAGTCCCCACCACCCCTCCAAAACACACAGTCTGGGTTCAATATCTACCCCTTCCTTAACCATTTATTCAAATGAACGTACCTCAAGCCAAATTCAATGAAGCTTAATCGTCACTCTTCTTTCTCAACCTCTTTACAGCATTTCACACCACTGAACATTTCCAGCTTCTAAAAATTCTCCCCAACCTCATCTTAGAGTTCTCTCTGCTCCCTTGATTCATTTTATAAAAACCTGTTTTCTTCCTCATTTCCAAAGTCCTGTTAACCCCTCTGTCTTTCTGAAGTATGCCTGTTTCTCAGTTTCTCAACTGTTTTGAGGTGTGTGTTTTGTTTTGTTGACAGGACTGGTGTTTGAACTCAGGGTTTCCCACTTGCAAAGCAGGTGCTCTAATGCTTGAGCCACACCTCCAGTTCATTTTCTTCTGTTTATTTTGGAGATGGGATCTCACGAACTGTTTGCCTAAGCTTACCTAAACCCACAACCCTCCTGATCTCAGCCTCTCAAGTAGCTAGAATTACAGGCATGAACCACCAGCACCTGACTTCATACCTCCCTCTGGATTCTAAATATCACTTCAGGTATTTATTCTAACTGCTGGAAGAATACATTTAAATATAATTAAAATAATACTAAGTTATCTTTAACACAAAAAAAAAGGGTTTACCCAATTCTCCACACCCATTGAAGGGGTTGGAGGGGCGGGGATAGACTAAAGGAGAGAAATCCAGAAAGCAAGAATAGGACACTGGCAAGCAATGGCTGACTGGAAGGATGGCGTCCTGCAGTTCACAGAGAGGCAGATCCAAGAACTAAGACCAAACATACCTTTTTAGAAGCCATCGGTCTCAAACTTGCCTGTCAATCTTCAGCAAATGAATATAAACAAGAAGCCCCATTTCACTCTGAAAATTATAGCAAATAGATTTTGGGTTGAGCTTTTTGACCTGAACATAATGAAATCAATTGAAGATCCTGGACGTGCTTATCCCAAACTTAAAAGAGGAGGTGATTTCCTACCAGTTGTTTAGTGTGCACATCTGTTCATTAAAGCAAATTAGTGCTTGCTGTCATCAAGACTAGCACATGGAGCTTGCCACTACTCAATTTCAACCCAATCTGGAATGTTTATCACACAGGCTGGGGACTCAGGAGCAGCTGCTCATGTTATTAGACCACATTATTTATTCTCATTATAATTTTATAAATTTATGTACAATGCAAGCTAGATCATCTAACATTGCCCTAACTTATCATTGTAGTAAGTGTACAATAAAACCCAGATTATCTGTCAGTGTCCTAGCTAGTTCCAGGAATCTGTGTCCCTGATATCCTCCCAAAGTAAATCTTTATGCTAACTGGCTACTAATGCTGAAATTCAACCAGTGTCAACACATTTTGAAGCTGTCAGAACTGTCTCAAAGTTTTTAGATAAGCAGAGTAAGCCAAGAAAAAAATAAATCTCCAAAAATTCAACAAAATAAAAGTCCCAGAGACTCATAAGAAATTTCCTTAAT